AGAAGAAGAGGGAGAGAGAGTTAGAAACATCGATGAGAGATGTGCCCACAACCAAGGTACATGCCCTTGACTGGAATCGAACCTGGGACCCTTCAGTCCACATGCCGATGCTCTATCCCCTGAGCCAAACCGGTTAGGGCAGCTTCCCTGTCTTGATTGTCTTTCGTGTACAGCCTCCAGGAGCTGCCTTCCTGCCTTCAGTGTCAGAAATCCAAGAGTGAGTGAATGAACATCACTGAACACCTCCACGTTCCCCATGTCATTCCATGTGATTCTCATGGCAACACTGAATGAAACGTTCAGGTGGGGATAGACTCCGGAATTGTTAGTAGGATTCAGGCCAGGTCTTTCTAACTCCAAGTTTTTCATCGTTCAAGTTCATCCCAATACAAATCGCCCTGGCCACAAACTCCCTGTCCTAGGCTGAGCACAGCCAGAGACAGAGAATGAAAGAGAGAGAAAGAGAGAGAAAGAGGGAGGTCAGGACAGGTCCACTGGGCTCCAGCCGCTTGGGTTTCACATCGCAGAACCAGTCTGGGCACTTAATGGGCCTCTAACCCAGCCTTGAGGTGACTGGTGGCCCTTCTCTGGTTTCAGCGCGGACACTTCAGCTCATAGCTTTCCTCTGAATTGAGACGCTGAGTACGAGATGTGCACAATCTTAAAGTCAATCCCAGAAAAGGCTGCAACCACGACATTTTTCATGACTTGATAACAAGAGGCCCGAGACGGCAGAGCTGGGGGTTGGCCCGGGTGCCGACCGCAGGCTCTGGTTCCCTGCAGACTGCATTCCGGGGCTTCAAGTGTCCTCTCCCGTGCACCACGCGTGTTTACCCTTTGCACACTCCACCTCGCTCCCTTCAATCTGGTGGAGGTGGGAAGATGAAACCAAGGCCACTCCAAGAACAAGCCCTTGAGACTGCTGCGGTGCCAGGCAGGCTCTTTTTCGCATTTCACACGACCCTCTGGCATATGCAGAACTGCCTACAGCTCACAGGTTTACTAGTTTCCTAACAAAGGATCGCAAACTGGGAGGCTTAAAACAACCGTTTATTCTTTCACAGCTCTCGAGGCTGGAAGTCTGACATGGAGGAGGTGCCTGCAGGGCTGGTTCCCTCCGGAGCTTTGAGGGGGACACTGTCCCCCTCTCCTCTCCCTTGCCTTCTGGTAATTGCCATCGATCCTGTTTGTGACAGCCAGCTCCAATCTCTGTCTGTCTCTCCACGGCCTTCTTCTCTGTGTCTCTGTCTCCTCTGTGTCTGTGTATCTCTTTGTGTCCCTTTCGGATAAGGACACCAATCACTGGGTTTAGGGCCACCGCATCGGCTTCATGCTTCAATGCCCTCCCGCTTCCATGGTGAGTCTGGGGCTCCACGCTCAATCTCCCCACAGCCCGCACTCTGTGCTCACACCGTGCACAGGGACAGGGCTGCTCCACACCTCCATTCCTTAGCAAATTCTGTCCTCTCTGCCTGGAACGCCCCACCCCGCCTTCCTCTCCATCTGAAAACTCTTCCTGATCCTTTAGGCCTCTGGCCCTGGGTGAGGGCCACCCCGAATGCCACGGGGCGAGTTGACTGTGGCCTTTTGTGCCCAGGTGACAGACTGACTAGTATCTTTCTCATCCTCGTTGTCTACTTCCTACAGTGCTTGGTGCCCAGTTGGCTCACAAATGCTTCCTGCATGGTTTCAGCTGCTGAATGGAAAAGCTACAGTGAGCAGGAACCTGGTGGGACTTGTGAGCTGACACTGGCAGCTCCATGAGTGAAATGACCTGAGGAAATAAAAGTCCCTTGTGCTTTTCTCCTCTGTCTCAGGTGACTTTTAAATGAGCTTTAACTGAGGTCAGGGAGGGGGTCTTGCTAGCGAAGAAGTGAGGGAGAGAAAGGGGGAGCCCCTGGCCTGAGGTTCTACAGCCCCGAATTCCAAGGTAAAGCTGGTAAAGGGGCCATGACCAGGACACTGGTAGAGCTGTCCACGTTCCTGGTTCATTCCTGCAGTCAAGGGTGGGGGGCATTTTGGTGTTGGTTGGTGGGGTCCGTAAGAAGTGTCCACGGAGACCCAGTTCTCGGACTCCCAGACGGAGGCTGAGCCGGGCCCGTCCTCCTGGAAAGTGACCCCTTGCTGGCCTGGCTGCTGAGTGAAGGCCTCAGCAGCACCCGCCCAGCCTCTCTTTTAGGAGGAAAACGGCACCTTATTGTGAGGCTCTCCCTTCTCATCTCATTTCCAATCATGTGAGCGTCTCTTCTGTGTCCCTCAACAATGCCACCTGTCACCTGAAGCCAGTAACACTCAAAGGAGAAAACTAGAGTTGGAGTCACACCTGGTTTCCAGGCTCCTTTTATACTGTTTCGTCCATTGATTTCCAAGGGCCCCAACCTTGTTCTCCAGACCATTTTAGCAGGATGAGAGACCCAGCAAATGCATCATTCCATCTATTGTCCCCCTGCCTGTCCCCTTCAGGGGCATCTGAAAATTACTCAGCTGTTCCACCTCCCAGACAGTCAGACCCTGAGGGGGTTCTGGGGCAGGGCTGGGGCTAGGCAAGAGGAGCAAGGTGCACAGGACTCACGGCATAAGGAGGTGCTCCATCTCAGGGCTCAGTGCTTCCTTAAATGAGGTGCTCCAGGTGCCTCGCCCCAGTCCTGGCTTGGTGCTGGGCTGGTGTATTGATAACAGGATGGGAGGAGAAAAAGAAGTTAAAAGGAGGTTAGAAGAGACAGTGCTAAGAGGACAAGGTGGAAATCCAACGTCAATGGCAAAGTGAAGAATTATGGGTGCAGGGGACCAAGGGCAGTTCTTCAAAACAAGCATCCCCACTAAGCTCTCCCACACACAGCCCTGGACAGGCCACACCGACATCACCCAGAGAACACGGAGCAACAGGAAAACAAAACACACCCATCCTTTCTCAGGAGGTTTCCTGGGCTTCTTGTCCTGGGAAAGGGTGGGGGGATAAGGAAGGGATCCCCAAAGTCACGTTCCTTCTGCTTCTACTCCCTCCTCTGACTTGACATCTTTTTCTTGATGTCACGAACCTCACCCTAGGCATGGTGACTCAGACTCTAAGGCCTGGAAGAGCCCTTAGAGACCTCTAGACCTGCACTGTCCGGTGGGAGCCACTAGCTACACGGGACTCTTGAGCATTCACAGTGTGGCTAGCTCACCGAGGCAAGTGCTGTACGTATAAAATGCACACTGGACTTTTGCGGACATGGTTTAAAATGAAAGAACGTAAAAAAGCGCATTTGTATTTTTAAAAAGATTGATTACAGGGTGAAATGATGATGTTTAGGATCTATTGGGTTAAATAAAATATTACTAAAATTCATTCCCCTATTTTTTAAAATTTCTTTTTACTTCTGTTAATGTGGCCGCTGGAAAATGTAGCATTACAAATGTGGCTCCCATTTGTGGCTCGAATGACCTATCTATTGGACAAGGCTGGTCTAGTTCAACTTCCTTCTTTAACAGAGGAGGAAACTGAGGTCCAGACGGAAGACCTGACTTGGCAGATGGCACACACGAAAGAGCACTGTCATTTTCCGTTTCCACCAATTTCTCAGTTTCCTACACACACACACACACACACACACACACACACACACACACATACCCTCGGGGCCAGGAAAGGAGCAGGTGGGCTTACAGACCCGTGGGCTACAGGCCTCAAGAGAAGTGTTCCAAGACAATGGCTGTGGTTTCTTGGGTGTGAAATAAAAATCTAACAAAGGTGGAGGTATTCTCTCCAAGAAGTCACATTTTTTAAAATATTTTATTTTATTTTTTTACAGAGAGGAAGGGAGAGGGATAAAGAGCTAGAAACATCGATGAGAGAGAAACATCGATGAGAGAGAAAGAAACATCGATCAGCTGCCTCCCGCACAGCCACCACTGGGGATGTGCCCTTGACCGGAATCGAACCTGGTACCTTTCAGTCCGCAGGCCGACGCTCTATCCACTGAGCCAAACCGGCCAGGCCCAAGAAGTCACATTTTAAAAAAGTTGGGGAGCCCTGGATCTTCCTCGTTAATTACTTTGCACAGTTACACAGGCTGGTTTACCAGGTGTGCTGTTGGGCACTTCAATAGCACAGAGGCCTCCCCCGCAGGCAGTGGGGTAGAGCCGTGCCTGAGCCCTGACACGGTGTGGGCAGCCACTTAAGGATTGTTTGACAAGTAAACAAAGACAAGTTTCAGTAGGATTGGCTTGATAATGGGACAGGGGTGGGCAGCCCGAGGGAGGGGAACCAGATACCAAAGGCTCCGGCCTTTATTTCATAATTGTATCTGGCATCCCCATTCTCAAGCTGCATTGTGAGGCTCTGAGAGAGGTAGTTAGGAAAGTAGAGAGATAATGATCTCTCCGCCCCGGGGCAGCACTAATGGGTCTCATCTGAGGACACTACTAGCAAGTGGAGCCGCCACCTAACTGTGGACCCGCCAGTTAACTCTGGACGCCCAGTAAGTTTTCCTTGGCCTCCACCTCGCTTGGGCTGGTGGGCCCTGCGCAGGGGAAGGCAGGGGTAAGGAGGGGAGGGGTGGAGTGTTGGGGGCACCGCTTTCCTGCCCCTGGTTTCCCATCCTTCCCAGCTCGGCGGCCGGCATGAGTCTTGGAAAGACAGGGAAGGGCCAACTGGGGGCCCGCTCTCCGTTCTGTTTGCTCAAGTAGACACAGTAAGTTTGTAGCTCCCTGTCCCCCACCGCCCATGGGTCGTGGGACCCAGAAATTAAAGTAGGCGCCACAACCCGGCTAGCCCTTGCCCCCGGGGGACGGGAGTGCCCGGCGGGGAGCGCGGCTTGCACGCGGATGGAGGTGGCGGCTTTC